ATGGCAGGGAAGAAGCTGCTCAAGACAAGTAAGAGAGAAAATTAAGAGAAGAAACACACTTTAAAGGAAACAGCTGTTCCTTTTGGTCCCCAAGGAGGGGCAATCAGTCTTTCATCGAATTTTCTAGCTGCATTTAATGGAACATGTTAAGCAAGGAAGGACACAGTTGCCCTTAGGATCAGCCCTGACAAGGAGGTTTATCTGCCTAGCCTGCTAATGCAGCAACATCAGTAAAGTGTTCCTGTCTGAACTGCTGTGTCATTAGGAAAAGGGGAGAAGAACAATGTGCAAATTAGCTGTGGGGTGGCTGAGGGAAGGAGGGGGGAATCTGCAGTTGATTAAGAGCTTTGCCTTTAAAGACATCAATCGGGAGAAGATGGCTCAGCCTCCAGATAACACAGCTGATCCATCTCTTGGCTACAACGTGCAACGTGGAATGGGAGCGGCAGGGCACCGCTGAGGAAAGAAAACACCAGCCAGGCAGCCAGCGACTATCCCTGAACGCCAGGAGGGGCTTGCTGAATAATTCATCAAGGGCTAAACAATCGGAATGGTGCACAGGGGGCTGCATGTTCTTGAGGCTGATTAACTTTGGCTTGATGATGGATAGCTCGGCCCAAGAAGCCACATATTTATTTATTTAGGGCTCCTTCAGAGGTGCGTGGCGAGACAGCAGTTTCACGGTGCACGGCTGGCCAACGACAGGCTTGTCTGTCGATTAGAGACCCATTCAATTTGAGATGGGTCACGCAACTGAAAGGTTGCACTGGACGACCATTCAGACAAGTGACGGCTAATTTCAGTTCCTCATTACACACCAGGGCCTGACAAATGTTATCCAAAGCCTTATTAAATATTAAAAGGCCCATTTATCACCCTCATTAGAGGCTGAAGCAGAAGGAATGGCAGTGGGATGTTCATCTGGGGCCTGATCTAAAAGCCCAGTGCAGCCAACAGAAAGACAATCCCATTGAGTGTAATGAGATTTGGACCAGGCCCTTTGCTTGTTCTGGATGCACACAATCGTGGAGCCGCGTCTTCAGGGTCTTTCACTGCAAGAGGTGGGTTCAAAACACAAAGTTCTGACCCATATTTTGGACACCTGAAAAGCTTTTGGGTTGTCTTGGCCCCTCACCCCCATGGTAGTGTTTCACTTCAGCTGGGTTTATAATAAGCCTGTCTCACCCAATGTCCATGGAGTGTGTATAGGTGTTGGTGTATTTCACTTGTTTTATCTGTTTACTGAAAAATGTTAAATGTGCATGTTTTAACGATGACCGTGGTTGGGAGGTAGAGGGCTCAAGCAGACCTGGACACAGGCATGGGTGAACTGGGTGGCTGCCTGGGGCCCAGACAGACAGGGGATCCAAAATTTTTAGTGCTATTTCAGTTGTCCAATTATTATTGTCATTATCTCTGGCAAAGGGAAGGCCTGTACTAAAAGTTTGCCCAGGGCCACCAGGAGTCTAGATATGGTATTGGGCTGAAGGGTATATTAATGAGATACACCGCCTCTTACTCTTTCACATTACTAGTAGTCAAAATGTTATGGCATTTTTCAAGTGGTCACTCGCCAACGTGAAGTGAGTTTGGCAAGTCTTGGTCCATTTGCCAGCACCTTCACACCCACATCACAAAAGCCCTTCTACAGCTGGTACTAACAGTTCCTCCTTTTGGTCTCTTTGATCAGAAAGGCTGAAATCGAACGAATTGTGGAAACCAAAAACTGTTTCAAACTCCTCTGGGCAATCCCACTCCACCTCAGATCAGAGGTGCGCTAACCCAGGCAAAAAAAAATAAAAAATCACATGATGCTTTACATGAGAATCAATCAGGCTCAGTGGCCTGGCTATATGCCAACTTGGCTAATTGCATTCCATCTGTCTGCATCTCTTCTGTAGTCACACTTTGTTCACACACCTGTGGCCTGATTTTCAGAGGTACTGGATCCCATAGAAGCTGGGCACCCTCTAATAATTCAGGCCAGTTGTGTCCAATGTCAAAGACAGAACACAGAAAAATCTATAGTTCTGGGCACTGCCCAGTGAAGGACTGGCAGATAATTACCCAACATCAGGTTTTGATGGTTTTTTGAAAGAAGAGTTCACAACTGATTTTAAGTTTGGTGTTAGAAATGGCTATTTTTGGCAAAACCACATCCCCTTTTGGAGATCTGCCATTAAGAGGCACAGCCAGGCAGAACCATGCCCTCTGGAGGGAGACAGGGCAGAAAGCTGACATTAAAGCACCAGCTGCTGTCAGCCTTGTAAGTCCACGGCAGTTTCCAGTGCTGATGTGGAAAGAGAATAAGGCCCTGAGTCCGAACTGACAACAGTGCTGGATAACATGAGCTTCACAAGAGCAACCTGACACCTGCCATTCATCATCCTGGCTTTATTTTATTTTACTGTTATTCTTTATATTATCTGTAATGGCCTAGGGAGTCAGGCTTGACAGTCCTGGAGACTGCGTTGCTCTCACCACCGATCAAGCATGGCACCAGCAGATACATCTCATGCATCCACCATGCCCCATCAATCCCCTATGAGAGAGACCAGCTCTAGGGACAAGAGGCCAAATTAGATATATATAAAATCCTCTGACATTAGCACCTGCCATCTCTGAAGAAGGCTGAACCTGAGAACTCATTTTACAGAGGACATCCAGTAGCCATCAAACAGTTGGTATCATGTTCAGGTCACTCTGGACTCAGGCTATAATTGAACTTATTTTGATATTTGAAATTAGAGAACACTTAAAAAGAAAACAAATCAAGAAGGAGCATGCAGCTCTTGTGGGTTATTGGGTCAGTATTTTATTACTTAAATAAAAGCAGGGAAATTGTATAAAATTTAGCAGCTCCTTAGCTTGATCAGGCTTAACTTTCAGGGGATGCACCATCCTTGTGATGTCCTTTAATTGTTATGTCTCAAACCCTGACTCTGAGTGTGTATAAGTCAATACATGAAAAAGGAAACAATTTCAGAATTTTTTAGTAGAGTGCTACAAGCTGCATCTCCATACGGTTGCACCCTGGCTGTGCAAGTTGTATACACCATACACTTAAATTCTATTTTGGATGCATCACATTTTTCCTAGTTGGGATCAAGAACATGACTGGCGATACCTCCATATATTTTCTGCACTGTACATCAGCCACATGGGTCCTATCCTACAAGATAGTCTTAATCAGGGAAACCAGCTAATGCTTGGGATACATGACTTCAGGCAAGTGAGGTACAGTGCCCCTCCTTATAACTTTCCCCAATAATGCTGTGATTTTGATTTGATTCAGGATAAACCACTGGGGGATAGCTTTCTGTTTACTCTGATTTCAGTTCCTTTTGTTCTTTTTACTTAATAAAAACATATCTGAAGCTATGTTGAATGCCTAATTATGTTCCAAATTCAATTCTAGCCAAGGAATAACCTGAGCTGAAGCTACTTTGCTGTGTTTAATAGAGATTGTGCAGCGGCAGAAAACTTGAGTATCCTGCAAGTCACTGTAAGGAGAAAGTTATCCTAATACTCTGCTCATGCAGGTGAAATTTAAACCTCCCATCTAAAGGAAGAGATCACAAGCCTATACTCTGATAAGAAACAGCATACGACTCAACCCATCGGTAACCTAGTCCTGGTTTATTGATGCTGTCTTCATTTTTTTTTCTGACCCAATCACTAAAGTTCCTCAGAGTTGAGCCTCTTCTTCTTTTCCCTTTCTGACCTTAAAAGATGATTTAAGCCATGGCAGGAGTAGCTGTTCCTCCACTGCCCCACTTCCACCGCTGAAGGGGAGCCAACCTCTGTCATAATAAAGGTGCTTTTTAGAATTCACTATAAATGCCATTGCAGCTTAGTCTAATATTCATTACAAGTAACCACTTTCTACGCTCTGCTTCCCATCTTATTGATCCTCTAAGATGAATAATTTTCATTTAGCCTTGCCCATCAAATCCTGACCATTAAGATAGTTAGGAAGTGGAATAAATACAAGTCCTCTTTATACAATAGGATAGATAATCTAGCTGAGACAGAAAGTTCCTGCATAAAATCTTTCCTTTAATGAAGAAAAATAAATCCCAACCCAGGATGAGGCAATTATTTTCAGCAACACTATCTCAGGAATCTGACTTCTGAATCTTATCCTATCTAGAAAGAAAGTCTTGTCCAGCTAAACAAACTCTCTGAATATCTCAGTTCTTGCCCTCCCACCAGCTGGTCCTTCTTCCTTTATATTAATGCACACTGACAGGATGCTGTTTCCTTTTAACAGCATAACCTACTAAAGTGTTTTATTTCACAGGGGAGGAGTGTGGACTGCAGAGCTCTGTATTGGGGGAAGACTACATATGCATCTCATATAGCTCATAGTCTTCTGACTGCACAGTATAAAATACAGAAAGAAAAGAAAGCATGCAAGAGACTTTCAAATACCTGGTTTCCACCCTCCCTCCCCTTGCTCTGTTTTAGGAGTCAGGTTTAGCTGTCTGATGCCTAGCAATATTGACTGATTGGTTGATTGATTTCGACTTACCTGCCTCACCTTGGCCAGCAACGATATACTCCAAGAAGACGATCAGCGTGATGCCTTTATGCTGCATGGCTGTCAGGCAAACAAATCACCCCCGTCCTCAAGGTGCAAGGAGAATCTCATGCATCTACAGGTCCGGTGCCTGCATAGCTCCTGTTTCTTGCCTTCTTTCTCACCTTCTCCTTAGGGCAAGAGCAGCGGCTGGTGCCTCATGCTTCTGATCTGGTTGGGGAGGCTTTTTGGTTGCTTGCTTTTGTTTAAAAAAAAAAAAAAAAAATCCAGACCTCTTTCCTGGTCTCTGCTGGCTCCAGGGTGGGAGTCACTTGCCCATCGCTCCCGGGGAAGTAAGTGGCGTTTCCCCCGTTAGTAGGTGCAGCTCACATCTCTGGCCCAGCTTCTCCTCTCTGCCCCGTGCTGGGGCTAGATGCTCTTGTTTTAAAACGAAACTTTCTCTTGCACTTTGTTCGGGGTGGGGGAGCGGGAGGGGGGGCTTGTTCCCCCCCTTGCCCTTATCTCCCCCCGTCCCCAGGTCTTGCCCCCTCTCCCTCTCTCCGCGGCTAGTGGGGGCGGATCAGGGACCCCGCACAGCCCAGCCCAGCCCCGCAGGCTCCCGCTCCGCGCCGCGCCGCGCCGCGCTGGCTCGGGGGTCCCCGCCCGGCTCCGTGCACCGGGCGCAGCAGA